GTTCATGTGGGGATTTTATGTTAGGAGGCAATTACTGCCTGTACGAGTGATTCGGAATCCACAATGCCCTTAATTAGAAGCCATTCCTTCCTTATGTGTCTACTTCTGAATTCTGATGACCATCTTTGCCCAACCTGCTATGTTGGTCAATCTACCTTTGCTGATGCCATTCTGCATGACTCCAGCAAAACTGATACTGTCCATTACAATGTCACATGACTGGAAGCTTTATTTTTTCCTCTTAAATGTACGCGTCCAGATTCCAGCAGGTAGTCAATAAAGAAGCTGCCCTTCTGATAATCGCCGAGAGTATAAATGTTGACAAACTTTTCAAAAAAGTGTCAAAACCGGAAGAGAACTTGTGAAACGGCATGCTTTTTCCAAGTGATACAACTACACTACATGGTGTAACGTACAAGACCAGAAAACATCATCCTACATACAGCTGGACACCACCACCACACACCTGCTGCTGATGTAGTATCCCAATTCCATCCCAGTTGCCCAAGAAAATTCCAATCCGGCTCAATTCAGGCGGCAGCAGCACACACGTCTCCAGCTGAATGTCAATTACCTGAATCTATAAAAAATAGGAGTCCCATCTCCATTTCAAGGGGCCAGAAATGAATTCCAGATAGTGAAGTGAGATGGAAACAAAAACTAATAAACCCGGATGTTGTCTCAATTGGAGATGAGCTGTGAGTAGCCGAGAACGGTGGCGGCAGCATCAGCTGCAGATAGTGAGAGACCAGTGCCGAGTCCATCGCCTTATCTGCACGGGCATGTGGCCGGGAGACAGCTGTGTCGCGCCAAGGCGTCCGTCCGTCCGGCCCTTCTGCTGGTCCAGCGGCTGCCGTAAGCGAGCGTTTCACATGACGACGCTTTCTGTCGTGCTGAACTGGAGATACAAATCATTACTGTACAATATACAATACACCAAATGTCCTCCTTTTTTTTCTTTTTTTTTCTTTCGGTAGAACAACAATTGTACTAGGAGTGAGTATTAGGTGCGAGTGCTCGAGTGCAAGTATATATGCAGCTTTGTCAGCCGTTTGCCTTCTTGCAGTATAAGCCAAGGGAAATGCCATTGGTAGGAGTAGCAAACAATGGCGGACACGGCGACACGGCTTAGTTGCGTTCTTGCATCTGGTGAATCTGGATCGCTCTATGTAGAGTATCACTCGATCGATCTCTTCTGATCATGGCGAATGATTGCCGCAGCTCAGCAAAGCTTGGGGGAAGTGAGTTACCCATAGCTTAATCATGATGTCACGCATTAAAACCGGGCAGTACCTGACTTCTAGCTTAGCTTTGCTGTAACGATCTGCCTTTGTGTGATTTTTGACCGTGTGACGTAAAAAGGCGATTATATAATGGTCCAATTATTTGCACAAATTGCCCCACCGACGACATGCATGCCCAACCGGTGAACAACAATGAGAGCTAGCACACGTGTAAAGTACACCCGGCGCTCCATTGAGTGAGTGGCGGTCGTCACAGTAACTTAGTCTCGAAGCCTAATTAGATTAAGAAAAAAACGCGTGCAGTGCACCAAAATACGTATATAATACTAAACACTTTTAGGTGGTGTTATTTTCTCCTGAAGATGAAGATGAAAATTAAGTTTTTTTTTACGCAAAATGAGGTGGTATTAATACATGATTGATTGTGTTTTAATTATTATAAACTTGAAAAATAGATTAATATGATATTTTAGAGCAACTTTCATATATAAAGTTTTTACATAAAACGCACCGTTTAGCAGTTTAAAAAGCGAGCCACAAAAATTTTAATCTTCATTCAACTCTTGTTGGAGAAAAGAAATGGACCTTACTCCATGATGTATTGCTTGTGCATGAACTATGGTAGAACATCCGTTTCACAATGTAAGTCATTCTAGCATATGAATATGGGAAATACTAGATATATGTCTAGATTCATCAACACCAATATAAATATGGGAAATGCTAGAATGACTTACATTGTGAAAGGAGTACATTATGTGTACTGAAGTACTTAATATTACACAGCACAGCAGAGTCATCGGTTCACAAAAGCCCGATCAACCGAAACACGAAGCCCAACCCTCCTATCTAAACAGGCCGAGGCCTTAAACCAATCCAGATTTCAGGGCCCAACCTCCTCGGCCCTAGCCACGCGACACCAGCCCAGGGCGAACAACGCACGTACGTTTCCGTTGATTTCGAGTATGGCTCGAGGGGTCGGAGAATAATTCTCCGAACCCTCTTGGGTTCACGTGAACCGTCCGATCGTGAACGTGCGGGCAGGAAGTGGCCCGGGGAACTGCGAGGGTGGGTTTGATCGCGAGGTCATGCCCAACTGTGGCCCTGTTTAGTTCACACCAAACTTTCCCCCAACTCTCAACTTTTCATCACATCTAAAACTTTCCAACACACATAAACTCGAAAAATGCCTCAGTTCGGACGTCCGATCTCAGAGAAAAAATCGAATACCTATAACTTTGCTATGTACAGCCTCCTATCCCCTTTTGCATACCCTTTACATATGCTTCATCACTAAGCATTAGCATGCATGAAGGAGAGGGGACACGAGGCTATTTACATGTACACCCTTTTAGCAAACTTGAAAATGACTATTCTCCCAAATTACTTATCCAATCTACGATCCGATTATACTATTATATTCATTACAATTAAATATTTACAACAAGATGTTACATGATTATATTATAATGAAAAAACACACATATGTTTCAACCATTTAAATTTAATGTTTCGCATGTGAGATTCGGATGTTTCAGCTGAGATTATATTATGTTGCACATTTTATAATTATTGTGTTGCGATGTATGTTTCTTTAATGTATCACATGGTGCTATTTGCATGTTTCAGCAAGTAGTTTATGATGTTTCACTAGTTTATTTGTAAATGTTGCACATGTATTGTTTGATTGTTTCAACAAGTATTTACTAGTTAATTAAAAATGTTGCACATAGTATTATTCATATGTTTCAGTAAATATTATACGATGTTTCAATAGTTAACATCATGTGATTAAATTATAAAAAAATCATGTGAGATCTTTTTATAAAAATTTAATTATAATGAATAAAAAGATATAATCGGATCGCGGATCAGATAAACAGTTTAAAACATAAAATAGTTAAACGTATGCAAATAAAGTTAACAACCTAGAACCTAGGCATGATGCACGGTCAATATGTAAGCTAAGCACAGTAGGAGGGCTATCCGATCTTTAGAATATTATCGGACATCCGATGGTTAGTTGGCTCCTAACTTTTTTTCCAAACTACCAACTTTCTCTAAACTTCTCCCCAATTTCAGGAACTAAACACAGCCTGTATAACACATGTAATGCCCATATATGCATCTCACCGTTGAGACGATAAACACAATTAAGATGTTTGAGAAGAAAATTGGTTCTGTTAGCTAAGCTGATGAATCAAAACATTCTACCACAATTTGCATGCAAGGAGGCAACAAAATGTGCCAATCTCGTAATCACCTTAGGTAGAAGGAAGCTTTTTTAAGTTTCACTCCACCAATTCATAATATGAACATACATGATAATGTGCACGGTCACAGCTGTTCTTGCTAAGTAAATGAGAAAAGAACCACATAAAGACATGGTTTACTGAAGTCCATAAGTCAGTAACATTCAATCCACATGAATCCGGCAAGCATTTTACACTTTACATATTCTAATCCGTCAATTTGCACTCAGAAGATGGCTGGACGTATCTCACAAAGGATGGCTGTGCGGAGGGAATGAGTTCCCAAGTCAGAGAGTAGTGTAGGAAAACACATGAGAGGGCGACGTCCTCTGTGACGCGCGGCGAGGCGGCGACCGATGACACACCTAACTGATCAATAAGACCACACGTCTGAGTACTTAATATAAGTTTCGAGGGAGCGTATCCTATGCACATAGGCCCTCGCGTGTACACACCGTGTACACCAACTAAAAATTATCACAAAAAATTTTAGAAAAATTCATACATGCACTTTCAATAGTATTACATCTACATGCAAAGTCGCATCTTCAAATTCATTCTACATAGAGAATAACAAAAAAGATAAAATTCTGACAAAATTGTAACCTTAAAACTGTCAGTTTTTTTTGTTACGGCTAAAATATAATGAATTTGACGTTAAGATTTTAACCCTAGGTGTAATACAACTGAAAGTATGTGTATGATTTTTTCTAGATTTTTTGGTGACATTTTTTAGTTGGTATGCACGTGTGTACACGTGAGGGCCTGTGTGCATAGGATATGTTGCCAAGTTTCGAACCCTAAGTAGACTATATAAATAGAGAACAAAATCAAAATAGGGGTACTTACAACTGAGTAGTAATGTACTCCCCGTCAAAAAAAACTAACCTATGATAGAATTTGATATAATCTAATATAACGAATTTGTATATCTAATCATATATTAGTTTTTTATAAGATAGGGGAGGATGCACAAGCAGTTAGCACAGACTGACTGCACAGGGCACGACGTGGCATGCTTCGTGTAGTTTCAAAACGCACAAAAAAACCATACACGCCCGCGACGAAACGAAGGCAGAAGGTTCAAGGAGCCCCGTCGCTAGACCTGTTGAACAAGCCCATGACACCAAGAGGCCTAGCCCGTTAACCAATCCTGATTTCACGGCCCCGTCCACTCCGACCACTCGGCCTAACCAGCCGGCGGCCGCGACGCCCGCCGACCAGACCAGCGGAAACAACGCGCGCCGCTGCTGCGGACGGATCGTTCACGGCACGCGTGAATGCGTGATCCGCCTCGGCAAAACCGGGGCATCCTCGTTCGTAGCCGCAGCGGGACATTCTCCGAACCCCCTTGGTTTCATACGTACCGTCCGATCGAGAGAAGCTGAGAAGGTCATGCAGGGGTTCGGAGGATTTTTCTCCGAACCTCTGGAGGGTTTACGGCCGCCGTTCGATCGAGAATGTGCTTTCAATTTACTTTGAGATGATAAACACCACCACAGTGAGTTCGGCTTTGCAAAACCAACACGTTGTTCCTGTTGAAGTTAAGTGAGAACACTAAAACCAACCAACTCCAATAAGTGTGGCTGTGAGCCTGTGATAGAGGATCTGCTGATCTACTAGTATGCTGCTGCTGTTGCATTGCCCCAATATTACAAAAACCCTTCTACTACTGGAGAAGGTGATGAACGAGGCAAACGCACGCATATGCATATCGCGAATTTCACCCTAATTCTTGCTCATCTACCACTAACTAACCAGCTTCCTAAGCTAAAGTGGCTATGGACCTCGCCTAACGACAAGGATGCTTTGCTGCTCATGCGTCGGTCCACGCGGCGAACATTGGCAGGTGCGCGATGGACACGCCGGCCCTCGCCGGCACCGAGCTCACCGCCGGCGAGGGCGAGGCCCAGGTGTTCAGCGGCACCGGGCTGTACAGCTTCGACGCCGCCGCGGGCTTGGCGAACAGCGTGGCGAGGACGCCGCCGCCGCCGCCGCCGCCGACGCCCCTGTCAGGGCTCTGCTCCCGGGAGTTGCCCAGGCTCGTCGCCGCCATCGACATGTGCGGCGCGCGCGGCGGCGCGCCCGCCGCGTCCACGGTCGACACGATGTCCTGCAGCACCGAGAAGGCGTCGCTCGGCAGGAGGTCATGGTGTTGGTGGCCGCCGTGCCCATGCTGCTGCTGCTGCTCCGTTCTCGCCGCCGCTGGCAGCGCGGCGGCGGTGGCCATCTTCCACTCCGCCACGTTCCCGGCCTGCACCAAGGCGGCCGCGGCGTCGGCGACCGCCGCCGCGCCGCCGCCGTCGCCGACCTTACCCTTGCGCCGCGCCAGCTCCCCCGGGAGGAGCGTGCTGCTCTCCAGGATCTTGTCCACGTCGTACCTCGTGATGTCGAAGTTGGTGACGGCGTTGAGCCCCCGGAACTTGATCGCCGCCACGTCGTACGCCTCCGCCGCCTCCTCCTGCGTGCCTGCATCCACAAATACAACCAATCACACACGACGACGAACTCACTCACCATCAATCAAAAGTAAAATCCGAGTTTTCGCCGCCGCCGCCGCGCGCGGTCAGGTCACAGGTCAAACCGGCATGGCGCGCGCGCCGCGCCGCGGCAAAAGCCGACGCGACTGCGGCGAGGGGCACAGCCTTTGGAAAGGAAGCGAACAAAAGGCAAACCAAACCAACCGCGCATGCATGCGCATGCATGCATGCGCAAAAGCACCGCTGCTGCAGCAATCAAAAGCATGCAAGAAACGGCAGGGCGAAACATTCTTTCGAGCTGGGCCATGGTGGTGGCCATGGCCGTGCAGAAGCAGCAGAATTGGCATCATTGAATCTAGCCATAGCTGACTGAAGGTCTTATGATCATTGTGACAGGACACACCCTGCGTCCTTAAACCGTGACAGCCTCTGCAAAGCCAACCTCATACACACTTTGCTGCTCATCGCTGATCGATCACATGATGAGAAGAATCCGGACAAGAATAACTACTAGTAGATCATAGTGCAGTTGCAGAGATTGGGGAGGAAGAACACTCACTGAATGTCCCCAAGTAAAGGTCCTTGTTGCCCGAGACGCGGCCGATTCGCGCCTGCCATCTCCCGTGCTGATGATGCCTGCAAACATTGACAGAAAACACACCAAGTTAATCACTCAGTTAACATGCTTCCAAGATCCATTTGCCGTATTTTTGCTGCAACCATGTGATTAACAACGACCTGGTGACTCCACGGTAGATCGAAGCGCCACGCGAGAAGCCACTGCTTTTCCTGCAGCAAACAGACATGGAGGTTTACAGATGTCAGTGTCACAATCTTGTTCGTTCAGTGACTTGGCGATTTCATAGGTAGCTACGCAGTGTACCTTCTGAGGTGAGCCACATACTCCTGCCTGCTCATGTTCTTCATCTCCTCCAGCTCCTCCTGGTAGTCCTCCAACTGCCCAGAAAATGGTGAAAACAAACGTCAATGATAGCCGTAACATCATAACTACAGTCATTCACAGTGCCCTTGAGCTAGCACTCTAAAATCTAAACTAAAATGTGTACTGTTTGCTTGCAAGAAAAGCAACAAATGAACTAATCAGAGTTGGTAATTTAATCACCGGGAAGTTGATGTGCGTGGAAGGGCCCCAGTACTTGAGCGCAGCAAGATCATACGCCCTGGCAGCCTTCTCCTCCATGTCATACCCACCTAGCAAAGGTTACATTGCAATCTCACAATCAAATCTTTGTTTCCAAAAACTAATCAATTCATCCCAAGTACTTGTGTACTGGTACTCACCAAGATACACTGCAGCCCATGCCAAAAGATTCAGCAGGATGATCATGCAAGAACATACATATACATTTCATCAGCATTTAAAACATAAGAAAGTGTGATTAATCACAATGTCAAGTTTCTCTAACCTTGGCGTCCTTTTCTGGTCTGGCCTTCCTTCTTGCAGCTGTTGTCCCAGAGGTGTGCCTCATATCTCCCAGTCCACCTATGCCTGCTTTTTACAAGGTTTTTTTACTTGAGGTTAAGTGAAGCTGTGAAGGTGGAAGCCATGGCGGCATGGTGGCGAGAGGTGTCTGTCACTATGGCGCTGCTAGCTACTACCTGGTGACGCCTCTGTACTGCGACGTCCTCTGGCCGAACGTGTCAATGGACTTGCGGTGCACCGGCTGCTTCTGCCCGGCGCGGTCCGCGCCGCCGCGCTTCTTGCTCACGGCGTCCATGGCCATGTACGGCTCGCCGGCGGCGGCGGCCTGCACGGTGACGCAGCTGGACTGGGACCCGGCCGAGCTCATGGACAGGGTGAGAGGGTGCAGGTGGCCGCCGGTGGGGATGATGGGGCCGGCGGCGCAGACGTCGTCGGCGGCGGCGTTGGCGATGTCGTAGCCGCCGCCGTGCATCGCCGCCCAGCCGGCCGCCACTGCCGCGGCGGACTGGTCGTGCACCAGCGCCGCGTCGTGGCCGGCGCCGGCGCCGGGGATGACAGCGCACTGCAGGAAGCCGCCGCCGCCGTGGTGCGGGTCGCCACCGACGGCGCCGCCGTCCTGGGCGTGTCCCTGGTGGTGACCGTGGCCGCCGTAGTAGAAGGCGGAGTTGTCCAGGCTCAGCGCCATGGCGGGGCCCGCGCCTAGGAAATCCTCCAGCTTGGGCGACGCCGACACCACCACCCCTGGTCACGAGTCAAAGCCAACCAAGCGACATAAAGAGACGCATTTGCTACAAGCCAAAGCGACCATGAACGCAACTGTAGCCACAGCCCAAGTAAGAAGAACCCGCGCTGTCTAGACGAACACCAGCACGAGCTAGCCATCTCTCTATCCAGCTACTACTTAAGCTAGCTAGCTCACCTTGCTGTTCTTGGTCGCCTCCCCGGAGTGCCTCCATGATGCAGAGCGAGCCGTCGGACTTGAGCGGCATGGAGGAGAACCCGGCGCCATAGTACGATCCGCCGCCGGCCGCGGAGGTGACGACGGCGTCATGCCCGCCGCCGTAGTAGAAGGAGGAGGCGACGGCGGCAGGGTTGTAGAACAGCCCACCTCCATGCTGCTGCTGATGCTGGTGCACGTGGTGGTGGTGGTGGTGGCCGACATCGTCGACGCCGCCGGCGCAGTACGTCGCCATGTGCGGCGACAGCGAGAATCCCAGCCAGCCGCCGACACCTCCGGCGGTGGCAGCCATGCTGCCGCTGCTGCTGCTGCTGTTGCCACTGGCCATTGCTTCGGTTATCGATGAGGAGGGATTCAGGAGGAGGAGGAGGAGGAGGAGGGAATGAGGCGATCAATCATTGGCGAGTACATGGCGCAATGATGCCGCCACATCCTCCATTTCTATCGACGCGCGTTCGGTTTCTGTGTGTGTGTGTTTCTGTGCGCGTGTGGCGAAGCAAACCGTGGTGGCGGATGAGGCGAGGAGGAGGAATGGCCGGTGTTGTTATTAAGGGGAAGAAGGAGAGGAGAGTGGAGTGGGGGCTTTGAAAGTGTGCAAAAGGAATAAGTTGCTGATATTGGTCTTGAGCTTGACCCGTTCTCTTTTTTTTTTCAAAAAAGAAAGGGGAAAGAGTAGTACTACTACAACATTCTGTCTTCTTTACCTCTATGTTTTGCATGGGGATCTGTGTTCGTAGAGGTAGAAAATATTTTCCATATTGCCCATATTGCGGTGGTAATCTCGTGGGTAATATATCTTGATTTTTCTTAGTAGTCTTATTATGATTTTCTTCGAGTAACCCGCGTGGTTATCGTGATAACCGTGATAAGAATCGGTAACTAACTCTTATACTAAATTGGCAGGAGAAAACCTTCGTGATATCAACTATAGTAGCTAACCTCTATTAAGGGTCTTTTGATTTGGAGGAAAAAATATAGGAATTTTGGAGAATTTTAATCTTGTAAGAAAAGTTCTTATGGATGGCTTTGAATCAAAGGATTAAATCCTATCCAATCCTTTAAAATTACTATAGAATGGACAATCATATAGAGATTTTGAAAGGAAAATTAGCAAGAGCTCAAAGCTCTTGGAAAATTTCTTTGAGTTATCTCTCTCATTCGATTCAGGTGTTTTTCCTAAGAAATCAAACAGTCATTTCTATGTTTTTTTTTCTATGTTTTGCAATTTTTTGTTACGGCTTCAAAATCATGTGTTTTTTCTTGTTTCTTTATTTTTTTAATCCCTATAATTTAAAGGGACCCTTAAAACCGGTAAGTGAAAACCCAGGGTTTGATATTGGCGATATTGTCCAATGATATGTACTCTTACAACACCAAATCTCAGCTTCTGTTTTTGAAATGATCCGAGTTTGATTTTTTATAATAAAATGGGATAAAGCCGGTCTCAACTCTCTTTAACCAACCCAAAATTATATTTTTAGACGATGAGTGGAGTAGTACGACGAGAGTAAAGAGATTCATTTGCAAGTCTATAAAGTTAACCAACCTTTAAATGGCATCCTCAATTTATGTTGTGTATAGCTAGAAATACACACTAGCGCTTTGTTTAGTTCCACGCTAAAATTAAAAGTTTAAGTAAATTGGAACGATGTGACGGAAAAGTTGGAAGTTTGTGTATGCAGGAAAGTTCGATGTGACAGAAAAGTTGGAAATTTGAAGAAAAAAAGTTTAAATCTAAACATGGCCCTGTTTGGATCCGGAGGGCTATTAAATAGCCCTCCAGAATCTTGCTATTTAGGAGTATTAAACGTAGATTACTGACAAAACGCATTCCTTAACCCCTAGGCTATTTTGCGAGACGAATCTAACGAGGTATATTAATCCATGATTTGCTACAGTGATGCTACAGTAATCAGTCGCTAATTATGGATTAATATACATCATTAGATTCGTCTCGCAAAATAGCCTAGGGGTTATGGAATCGGTTTTGTCGGTAATATATGTTTAATAATCCTAAATAGCAAGATTCCGGAGAGCTATTTACTAGTTCGGAAGATCCAAACAAGGCCATGGCCTTGTTTTGGAAACTGTGATAGTACAGTTTGCAGGATAACATACGAGTATACGACGATGTATATATCTTGGCGTTTGAGCATAGGATTCTCATAGAATTTTTGTAACAATTTCATGCAAAACAATACAATAATTCTTATATACTCCTTTCATGTGCTTGTTTCTACTGAAGTAACAACCTACCCTACAAAATTGATGTACCATTTCTGTTTGGCAGCAAAAAACAAATCATTACTTCCAGTAGTAAGGGCAGTCCTAACCCATAATGTCCATAAGCTGTGTCTTTGGTGCCATGTCAATAAGACATTACAATAGAAACTAAACTCTACAACCCATGGTTTCTTAAAGTGGACCATTAATAAATACATCATATCTCTTCTCTACCAATCATATTTATTCTTCATATATTATGAAGACACTGTTATCTCCCAATGCAAAACTTGATAGTGTCTAGTGCATAGGTTCTCGTGTTAAAGCTGTGTCTTGCATGAGACCCAGTTTCTTCCTCTCTTCGTTCTCTCTCTTAATTAATATAGTACCACATAAGCTAAAAGTCCTACATGGCAATATAGTTAATGCCATAGACACCATTCTAGGTGGAGGGTTGGGATTGCCCTAATATTGTGATTCAACGCTTGCAGCATTTTAATGCTGCACATTATTTGGTCAGATTTACAGTATTAAAAAATATCTCATCTGGTTTTAGATTCTTATATTTTAGGACTGGGACGGATGAAGTACGTAGTACGTTTTCTTCAATTTCAGACTTCAACTTCCTCTCTTTTTTTTCATTGGGACGTTTTTTAAACTATTAAACGGTGTGTTTTTTAAAATTACTATAAAAATATTATTTGAAAAATTCAAATAAATTTATTTTCAAGTTTATAATTATAAATACTTAATTAATTATGTGTTAATGGGTTTTCTTTTTGGTATGCGCTGAAAATCTCTCTCCAACTTAGAGAAATAACTCAACCGGCTGATAGTAATGCAACTAACAGTAATGTAACCAATGAATATAATGTATTCGGAAAGTAGTAGTACTCCTTATTTTGTTGGGATTACTATTCGATCGCTTAATTACTACAAGTTTCTGATCGCTTTACATAATTAAACTATGATGATGCAAGCAAGGCAATAACAGAGTTGGCTTGCGGATAGTAGACAGGGAAGAGATGCCCTAGAAGCCCTTAGCTAGATTGTCACTTCAGATCAAGCACACTGTTGTAGAGTGGAGTGTAGTGCAATACAACTGGTGATTGATCTGATTTAATTCCATCTTGCATGAAATTTCTACTAGTGGTGAGCTGCATGCCACCCATTACATGCACACACAAACACAACGCCTCTCTCAACAGTCATATTTGTACAGTAGGGTGTAGCAGAGACAATAACTCGAGAGACCGATGACAGATTGATGGAGGGATGATGCATGTCAACGTGAAATAAAGAATATACGTATGTACACATACCGTATGGAGTATTTGAGTGACTGTTCCTTGATGTTGATATACTAGTACCATTGCCAAATGAAGGGCGAGGGAGTGTAATGTATACGGCATAGAAATCTTGTATAACTAGTACTATACGTCATACCGGATTAATTTTGAAGTGAGAATTTCGTTGGTGTCTCTCCCCTTTGTGCCTAGAGAATCAACGGACCGTTGTAGTGCGAAATCTTGCACAAAGCATAGTATATATGTACTTCTATACTTAGTGTTATGGGACGATACTACCTTCGTTCCAAAATATTGCTATCTATTAGTATGCGATTTGTTTCATCTTAGAATGACAGATTCGTCGTCTCAAACAGAGAAATTAAGTATTTAATTTGAACGAGCGACTTATTAATTGATGCATGTAATTCAATATCACATGCATGTCTGATTTAATTAGGCAAAATTGTTTTTTTTGACCTGCATACATCTAATTTAAACATGCTTTTGAAACTTTTTTTTTTTGCTTGGGGTGTTTCTTCTGGTGTTTTTTAAAAGGTTTCTCCTCCATCTTCCTACATTTTTCATTCCTATGCATGGGATAAGAGAAGCTACATACTCCGTATCACTCTAGTTTCTATGTTTCTTCTACCCCGTGTTTCGAACAGAGCCGCCCTTTGCATTACCAGTGTTCCGGATGAAAAAGCCAGTTTGCCAAAAAAATTTTTAAACAAAATCTACTTGAATATATTAGCTCGTTTGTAAACTGAATACCCTATATTCTAACAGATCAATCGACCATGTAGGGAGTGAAGGCGGAATGCTAGCTAGGCTTCCTGTTGTACAACACAGCATATACTCCCTCCGTTTCGAAATGTTTGACGCCGTTGACTTTTTAGCATATGTTTGACCGCTCGTCTTATTCAAAAAATTTAAGTAATTATTAATTCTTTTCCTATCATTTGATTCATTGTTAAATATATTTTTATGTAGGCATATAATTTTACATATTTCATAAAAATTTTTGAATAAGACGAACGGTCAAACATGTGCTAAAAAGTCAACGGTGTCAAACATTTTGAAATGGAGGGAGTATATAAAGCTACTTTCGTGTGGCATGCATGCATGTCTATTAATTAAAAAGCCTAATTGCATGCATGCATGATACGTACATACTTCGACAAGTTCAACTACCACTATACATGTACTACTAAGTATATACTCCCTCCATCACGTACATAAAATATATGATGGTATACCAACCTTTCGTATATTGTTTAAACATTTGTCTTATAAAAAAATATGTTAATATTATTTATTTTGTTGTGACTTGTTTTATTGTCAAAGAAATTAAATATAGTAATAGCCTATAATTTCATATATTTATACTTAATGTTTTTAAAAGATGATCCAAAGTTATAGTAAAAAAGACAACGGTGTTATACTCTTCTATACGCAGCTACAGTCTTGCTGCAGTAGTTCAGTGGCTGTACATCGTTGAAGTATAAATGCAGAACCCTATAGATGCATTGTAATGCGATGCAATGCGTGGTGTGGGGGCCTGGATGAGGAATAGATATATGTGCGGCAGCTTTCATCTAGCAGTAGATGGATTTAAATCGTTTTCTTTTTAAATTTGCTGGGAGTCAAAGGTCAACTGCGCGCGGACCAGTTTTATATGACGGTCAGTAGGATGTTCCCATGAGAGAGATAGGGGAGTAGAGAACTGATCAATGTCTGCTTGAGACATCAGAAACGATGGTGTGTTCCTTTTACTCCTCGTGATGTCGAATTGTCGATATACGACAGTGCAAGTTAAGATCGAAATAATCAGGAAGAAAATACACGTTTGCCGTCCAAACTTTAATTATTTGGTTTCACAAAATTTGTCCTATATGCCTTTTTTATTATTACACGGATAACATACACGCAGTCACACCACATAAACCATATTCATACACAAACTAATACAATTCCTAACAAAAGCTCGAAATGACGAGAGATGCATGGTGATAAATCCTAACCTTATTAATTAAATTTCTATTTAATGGACACCCACCGGTGCGTAATATCTGT